TGAAAATACCAATATCAGACATTTTCCGCGTAGCATTTGATCTGACCACAAAACCACCAGACAAAAAAATGTCTCATAGCAATACGTCTGAAAACCACTTTAACCTTTTTATTAGTATATTTTGGTTATTTGATGCGAACAAAACAATTTTCAGACGGAAATGTGAACGCATTAAATTTTAAGACCGTTTTGAAAATGTTAAGAAATTTTACCGATCGATATCATGGCAATATGTCTGAAAATTGTTGGACATGATAAAATAAGTTGTCCACTTGTGCAAAAAATGTATATCAGACAAAATAAGTGTAGCACCTTCTCTATCAGACAACTTTTCGATACTCAGATATTTTTGACACACCAGAAATGGCCTCCCACGCAGTTGCTAAACTTTCGACCGTTACTTACTTACTTACTTCACACCTAGTCGGGTTCAGAATCATACAATCTAACGATTTTATAGGGTTTTTGCCGTATTGCTATGAGACATGGTTTTGATCGTCATCTCTCGTACTATAAAGCTAAACTGCCAATGATATACCTAATTTTTCCAAGTACCTACCTACTCACTTTGACAGATTAAAACTACCCACCCAATAATATTTCGACTTCAAATAGGAGAAGTTCGAATTCGTCGGAATAATTTTGTTGTTATTTAATAATTTTGGTCAATAAATGTTGTAAGTAGCTTCTATTGTTCATGTGCGCGTATGTCTGTGTGTGTTATCATAAAGTACGATGACGTGTTTATAGTGCATTTCAGGCGCGCGATGTCGGACCAATGGAAGTTTAGCAACAAGAGGCAGTGTTGTGGTTGGAGTGCCGCGCGGAGGTCGTGTGGTTCACGACACGGCGCGAAATAATACGCGATCCTTATATTCGTACAAAATACAAATTGTCCTCAGTGAATTTGGACTTTACGTAGTTGAAATTGAGTTCTAAACAGTGCCAATTCTAGTTTCATCTCAAGTTGAGATTATAAAGTAAGTAGAATACTTAGTTAACAGTTGTTATTTATTTTTGTGCATTAATTTTAAGTACGTAAATAGATATGTACCTATTGGAATAAGTTTTAATCTCAATTCCATTGTGCATTCATGAGGAAATGAAAAATAGGGAGCCAATCGGATCAGGAATTTAAAATTCATTTCAGCATTTATTTTAAAGGACAAAAGGTACATAGGTACGACGTTTCCGGCATTAAGCTAGCTATCTAAATAATTACGATATTTTGGTAATTACAGATAAAGAATATATTAAACTATCTGTTGTTAAGGTAAAAATAAAATTCCTTTGAAAGTTTACAACGTACCAAATCACCCACAATAAGCTGGTAATTTGAATAAAACGAATTTATTCTGTATTGTGATGATGACCCCACGAAGTAATTACCAGTTTAGCTAGAATATTTTAATGAATGAGGTTGATTTTTATTCCTGGTTTCACTTGTGTGACTCGTATCTATAGTAAGGGGGTACCTGAAGGTGCATGCAATTGGTAATTACTTAATTATTTTCCTTCCTCAGGAAATATACATATTTATGCAGATACAATTAATTAGATGAATAATACAAAAGAATGAGTTGACTGCAACTCATTCTAATTAGGTACTTCTATTAGAGCTAATCCCTGACTGCAACTAATGCCTTCAATAAAATACATAGATTCGTCAAGTTTCATAGTAAAATGTAAACGTATTTATTTAAGTAGGTACTGAACTAACAGTACTGAAGTTCCTATTTGGTACTGGTTGTGTATGAATCATAACCAAATGTACCCACTCGTTACTAGGTACCTACATAATATTATTATACTCAGGTACATACATAGTTTAACTGCTGACATACAAAACGAAGCAGAGATGGTTCTGTTTAGTTAAAAGTTAATAGAGTGTTCATTGCACACTGTATGATTAAGTTTCTATTCTGGCAGCTTATCATAGTAATATAGACCCTAATTTGCATATCAGCTTTAAGTACTTAGGTATTAATGTTTGAACGCGAACCTTTTTTAGTATATTACTTAATTAGGTGTATCATAAACCAGATCATATCATGAGCAGTTTCTGAATCTGCATACAAACTTAATCGACTGTATTGTAGTTCTACATCTAACTGATGTTATCTATTATAAAGGTACTTATTTGTAACATTCCTACACTCTTCATATCTACACACAGCATTCATAGCATGTATAGGTATCCATCTTGATCATTCCCAAGTACTTTCACTGAACGTCGAATATGCCTCGAAATTATGAACCCAACCGCCCGTGAACCGTAATTATGTGGGTCACTGCCCTGAGAAAGGGTCAATTATAACAATCAGATGCCAATAGGTTTGACAATCAAGTTAAATGTCTGGTTAGAAAGAAAGGAATTAGTTTTAATTTCATTTAGAAAAGGGCTGTGCATTGTTTCGTTGATCTATTCTATACCAACAAAAAATGGTACCGCCCACCGTTACTATGAACAGAACTAGCGTTGTCCTTTTTGAGTGACTGCTCTGCTGGATAAGTGGCCTTTGTCCCGTCAGAAACTGTAAAACGCCACTATAGGTATAACCTATTTTTTTACAGGTTTTTTACAGGTAATATAGGTATTTACAGTTTGCATGCAAGGATCGTATCGATCCTTGCATACTTTTGCTTTCAAAACTTCATTAAACTATTAACTAAAATAAAACGAACGACCTACATAATTAGCTATGAAGCAATATATTTCTTCGGTTGCTATCAAATAGATTATAGTAATCCTTGTCTATGGAAAAAGCTGGCATTTAATCAGTGTTGCTGTATGATCAGTGCGTGATTAGCGGTCATCAGGGTTATCGAATCTCACGTGCAACGATAATGGAAATGTAAATAAATATTTCCAATCAACTTTACCATTTATTAAACCGATAAAATTGAACTAGCGAATGGGTACTAGTACTTCACTAGTAAAAAAAAAGATTTATGTCCAGAATAGAGATGGAATTACCAACGCAGTCTAATTTAATGTTTTTTTTTTCATGACGATACCTAGGTACTGCCATCTCCAAAAATCATGGAATGGAATAGTTTAAATAATATTAGGTAGTAGGTACCTAGGTACTAGAATGCAAAAACAACTATTTAAGGACATAGGTAAGTAATTATAAAAAAGGGAAGCATTTCTTTTCATAAACTACTTATCAAAAGGTTTTGTCTAATTTCTAATGGTTAGATCTTATTTACAGTTATTTATAGACTTTATCATTATCTCTATTTAATTATATGTTAGTACTGTTAATATTTAATTAGGTTGTTGTTTTTGTTATTGTGTATAGGCGATTAATAAGCAAACATATCCGGAACTGCATTGGTCGCCACGTGAGATGTGTCTAGTTAAAGATATCGCTTGTTAATGGCGTAAACATGATCTTTCTTACGTGACTCATGACGTTAGAATTCTATAGTATGTAGTTTTACTGCCTAGTTATTTGTTATTAGATGATTTATAAACGTCTTCTTTCTGCCCTTGTCGCAAGTTTCTTGGAATCAGTATAATACTTACGTCCTCTCTTTCCATTACCTCCTTTCAGTGGTTATCCTATCACAAATTCGTTTCTCTTTAATGTCATTCTTTACACAATTTATTCATTTTTTTTTGTCTTTGTGATATTTTTTCTTTCTTTCTATTTTTGTAATGTAACCAGTCATTTTGTCAGATGATATAAAAAAATAGGCTTGTTATTCGTTTAAGGGGTATGTGGGAGAGGCGATCATAGATCGAGGATTCTTTCATTTAGTCTTTACACCTTTTTACCGATTTGGAACACCAGACCACCACGTAGGTACGCAGTTTAGAGTTATACGGTTGGGGTAACTTTTGACAGGCCTCAAACTAGTTATGTTATGTACTTCGCAAACTCGGACTGTAATTACGCTTAACAAAGTTAAACTTAACTTAACTTAACGATACCATTGTATTAATATGTATCCAGTGGAATTAAAGGTCTCATATATTTAAATTATGGTTTACTATTTACCTACTTTGTTGCTAATTTACTAGATACTTGGCTTAACTCGTCGAGTACCGGTTTTGTAGACACAATTATAGAACAATAGGTTGCGGTCACCGGTGACCGCTTGCTGTTTGACAGTTTAATATAGAGTTAATTTATAAGTAGGGTAGGTCCTTCAGAAGTAGGTAGGCAGACACCACTGTTAAACTGTAAAACACCAAGCGGTCACCGGTGACCGCAACCTATTGTTCTATAATTGTGTCTACAAAACCGGTACTCGACGAGTTAATATCGATTGATTAAAATTGACCACGGTTAAACATTTTTTTTCTTTAATGACAACCAAGTCTCAAATACGGTGCTGACGACTATCACGGTTGAATATTATGAAATGTGCCAGTTTAGGTGACAGGTAGGCGTGACAGATGTGTTTGCGACTGATCGAAAAAGGCTATGCGAGGCTATAGCGTTGACAAAGGTCAGTGTTTGAAACGTACGCGTGACACGATGGTGGTCTTGTATTGCCAAATGAATCTATTAAATGTAGCGCAGAACGTTTGAGGATTTACTAATGCACATGAATTTACCTGGTTTGAATGATTTCCGTTTCTTTTTGCACACAAGATTAAAATGCAGCGTGAGGTCTGTTTACCCAATCATAAAGTGATGCAGCCAAAAATTTTATGTTCAATAGTTTAACACTAGTTAATTCTTTATTGAATTAACAGGACCTTTATTAGTTGCAAATGGGTAGACTTCATTTAAAAACACTGTCCCGTTGACCAACTAGCCTTACCTATTTGTCGCGGAGAACCTAACGGGTAACCGGGGCTCCGGGTCGACGTGCAGGAGAAGGAACGGGGTGGTTTTTAGTCAGTAAGAGTCTGACACTCCCTCCCACCTCACCCAGGCGGGAGCAGTCATTCGATGATTTTCCCCCTTAAAAAAAGCCTTACCTATTTGAAATTCAAGCAAGACAACAAGAAAAAACAATCAACGAATTTGACCAATTATTTTGTAGTGTTACGTGGATGTACTTAACGTCAGTAAGCGTCCACTAATTAACTATCTATGTATCTTGTTTAAGTAGGTGTCCACTGAAAAAATCAGTTCATACTGGAATAATATACTTAGGTAAATTGGTAGGCACCTTATCATAGAATAATTAATGATTCGTAATGTTATGAATAAGTAAAAGAGAAACAAAAAATTGGATAACCTTACCTCGATAAGTTTTAGTTTGTTTTGCGATGGATCTTCATTGTTACATTGTAGTTTACCTACCGTGTCTTTCGCTGAGCAAGTGGCGACAGCATGTCTGCAGTTCTGCAGTCCGATCCAACTGCATTAACATACTGCATTCACTATAATGTAAACTATAATTATATACGCTTTAAGAATATTACATTAAACTCTTTTAAATTGTAATATTTCGATAGTATGATTTATTTCTCTGATTTATATCCTAGAAGAGTTGTTTTAAAACATAAAATAACATCACGCCTTTCTTCCCCGAAGGGGTAGGCAGAGTTGCACATTACGGCACTTAATATCACCGTACAATGTAACACCCACTTTTCACTATTTATGTTATGAGACCCATGTAATAGGAGGTGATCCTATTGCCATATACCGGGCACTATTCCAGACTCCGTGCTACTACTGAGATTTTTTTTAAAGACCCAGTAATACTTTGTCCTACCCGGGAATCGAACCCGAGACCCCTTGCCCGGCAGTCGCACTTGCAAATACTAAGCAAAGTAATAAAAATAATAATGAATTATGTTGTACGGTTTACTAATGTAGGTAACTGTTTGACGAGGCAACTCGATTATTTTCAAGCCACGCGAGGAGCCATTAATCAGGAGGACCACGCGCGACATCCGACACTAAATTAATAATTCAAATAATGAATAACATACCAAATTATAATTATTTTAATAAATAGAATAGATGATAATCTTAATTATTATGAGCTGAATATTTATTTAGTTTCATTTAAACTAAATAAATTTAAAAATCGTTAATTCTATAATTTTCTTTTTTACGTTAAAAGAACTGTTCCTGGAACAGAGGTACCTATATACTACGTACCTATGTTACGTAGGTACCCACGAACCTAGATAGTTGAATGTCACCAAGAAGTATATCCATTGGAGTAATTTGTATCCAGTCCAATAGACTAACAATCACATTCGTTGGCCACTCGTATGAATAATAGGTACTTTACATACCTACCTATATCCACTTGTACACCTACAAAGGATCGGGAGTATCTCGTTGTGTAGATATGCAAAATAAGGACAGTTTTTGCGTCAATACTAAGTGGCCATTGACCATATCGCCGTTCGTTATCAATTAAGCGCTCAGTTCTCTGGGAGTGTTTTATCGAGCCACAATGCTCCCGATGTAATTTACATAATAGTCAATGGCGGATATGTACGGATGTTGGCGGGAAAAATAATCTGTCACTTTTGTTTTTTTTAGGACGAAACAATGTCGGCGAACGTCATCTTAGGGTGCGTGATGGCGCTGGTCATCATTCTCTTTACAATTAGCTCTATGGCCAGATATTATATTAAGGTATGTATTCTCTATTATCTGATTCATTTGTTTCTGGAAATGAACAAAATATGGAGTCATTAGCAAAATAGACCATACTTTAAAGTGCAAAGGTTGCTTGTTGTGTGGCGGTTTCGCAAACAAATATTATGATGATGATGATTGATTGTTTTATCGTTGTACTTTGGATCATCATGGACTTTGGTCCTTGGTATTGATACTTTGCACAGTCGGGAAGTTTCCTTTATAACATAAACGTTAAAATAGACATTAGGAATGCAAACAAATACTTAGGTGCGTTATGTTTATTCAACAATCGTATTGTATTTTTACAACATTAATTATAGACCACAATTACTTATTTAATTTCTTCTGGTATGGTTTAACGGAAGAGATTAACGTGGGGTATTAAATGTAATTAATATAATATCATAGTAGGTATTATCTTTACCCCACCTGTTATATTATTATTGGATTCGATATATTTGTGTGATGATAAAACTTGTGATAGGAAATATGATATTATATAACAAAAAAAGTTATAACTTTTATTTGTGATTTAAAAATCAATACTTTACAACTTGATTGAAGCATGGGAACTAAATACCTTTCCCTGAAAACATATAATAATGAATGGAATTTATTGAATATTTCATTAAATCTTAAAAATTAAAACAGAAAAATGTTTATTAAATCGACCCGAGATTTTTCAAGCAAAGTAGGTAAATAAATAAGTACTTCACACGACATTGTTTTGAGAAATTAGATAAGTAAATACCTACATAATTATTTGACACACTTATAATATACACAAATTAGATAGGACTTTAAATAGGACAGTCGTGACCTACCTTAACATCTTACGAAATATTGATTACACGTAGTTGTTACAAGTATTTAATTGCATAATAAATATTATTAACATACAATTGTGTCCAGTGTAGTATGACAATAGGTCACCGTATATTACATGGGGCTGTCTGAAGGGACTCATAACATGACTAGGGAAAAGTGGTTGTTATATTGCACCTTCCGTGCCACCCTTTGAAAAGAAAAAGACGTACGTGATGTCATAATTTATTTTTGTTGATTCTAAGTACCTAATAATAAGTTCATTTTATTATTGGAATCGACAACGGGGCAACATATTGCAAGAAAAAAAATTTATGTAGGTACGGTATGTCTGAAATATTATAGTGAAAGTATAAAAAAAATTGCCACAGCGTACGTGCTGTAAAAGTAGCACAAAGAAAACACATAAACATTGATAAAAATAATGTGCAATATATGCCTGAAAGTTTTTCTCGTAAATTGTAATTTAATATTGATGTTAGGTAGGTATTTTTTATTATTATTTGCAAATATCAGCCTTCGATCTACTTTGAGAACGCTTTAGTTTATATAGACACTATTTGACGTAGTTGGAAAGTATTGCTCGGCAGCCGCGCATGCAACTGCTCGCGCACAGATAATTAAGTTTTCATTAATGTGCCTTTTTTTTTCAGTTCACACTGTTCATCGTCATGTCATTAATATTCGCCGCAGCACCAATGCCACTTATGTTGATCAAGCCATTCGACCCAAGAAATGCATTGTAAGTATTATTCTAGCTACTTCCTCGCGACATCACGCTGCGCCTTTTCTATCGATCTTAGCGTGATCTTTTATAGGCTATAACCTCCCTTCATAAATGGACTATCACAAAAATAATTTTAAATCTTCCTTATTTTTAAGTCGGAAAAAAATACAATTATAATTATAAAAAAAGTCACGTCAAAGTCGGACAATATAGATACTTTGTCCGACTTTTTTACTTTTTTTTCGTCCGACTCTTAAAATGCTTCATGTTTAATGAGCGTGTGTTATACAATACAATACAATACACATTTAAGTAGGTAAGATAATTACAATTCAACGAGCAGGTCGGTTAGCACTAATTATACTATTTTCGTTTTTGTTTACATTATAATAAACAATCGATGGTCCTAAAGTTCAATACCTATATAAGCTATTGTCATCTGAATGATTTTTTGCTTAGCAACACGTACCTATTCGTGTGTGAACAAAAATCTATGAATACGATATAAATAGCATTGTATTTATGAATGCCCTTTAGCCATTGTTTATTCGTAAATATTTCCTGTTAGAAGATCAGTAGGTAAATGTTATTTTTGTAAAACTTCAACTGAAGAAAATAATATATTCATAAATAGGTATTTCCTTCAGTAGAACGTGTATTTTGCTGCTATTTTGGTGATTACACTGCGTAGTAGCAGCGTAGAAAAATCGTAGTTTCTGCGTAGCTGTTGCCTGTGTAAAAAGTACCGTAGCTGCTACGAAGAACGGCCGTAGCGTAGACTTTACGTAGCTTTTGCGTAGCGCTACTACTTAAATCACTATATTCTTGCGTAGTTGCTACGTTAGTGTTGCGTCAGATTGTTCGCCTAAAATTATTATTTTGCATTTTTTTTTATAAATGTTTTGTAAGTTCTACTTTTACTAAAGGTTTTGTTTTATTTCCCTTTATTTAATTAACGGCCATGTTTTACAGCCACAGTCATATAACATGAATAAATCCCCTCTCACTAATAAGAGACTCCAAAGAATTTCTAGAGTGGCTAGACTACTTTCGGTGACTAAGTTTAGTGCTTATCTTGGCGAACAATCGATTGTAACCAGCCAAGACGTTGTTAGAGGTTCATAGTGTATGGCAGCACTAACTAGGTCAAGGTTTTGTCTATGCGCTTTTTCCTTGTTGAATTATTTTGTCTATTTATTTTGTGTTCGGAATTCAATTTCAATGTAATATGCCGCGCATTTTAATTTATGGTGAACAAAAATGAACATTGTAATTCTTTACGCTTTTTATCAACTAAATTAAATTTTTATTTATTTTTATGTGTGACTTAAAACAAAACGTAATAATATTTTATTTAAATAATAATACACGTGTGCGTATTTATTTTTTTAAATATATTCTTTAGAACGCTAAGTAACAAAAACTGGAATTGATATGCAAATTGAAGAGTAAATGTTCAATGTTCATTTCGATTAGTGAAATTGACGAGGAATACGATAATTAACAAACAGTGCGCATTAATTGATATCGAGTACCTATGTTTTCGGTTCACAATTATTATTTTAAAAAATATCCACTAGTACCAACTGGAAATATTATTTATTTATTTATTTATTAAAACTTTATTGCACATATAGTGAAATTGGCGGACTTAATGCCGTAGGCATTTTCTGACAGTCGACCATTGGGTGGTGCAGAATGTTAAAGCGGTAGGTGCAAAATTGTAAAAAGAAAGTATGAAGTAGATAACGAAGTTAAGGTAATAAAATATTAAAGAGGGAAGACATGATTGTTATAGTCGATAATACATAACTAAGGGTATAGGGTCTTAAAATGAATTATATAATAAATATAATATATCCCAAATATGCATACATATAATATAATACATACATATATAAATAAATGCAATACATAGACTACATATTAGGGGCCATCCATAAATTACGTCACAACTTAAGGGGGAGGGAGGGGGTCGACGAAGTGTGACATTGTGTGACAAGGGGGAGGGAGGGATCCAAAACTTTGTGATGTCACATTTCAAAAACTAATAGTTAATCTGTGTTAAAATACGAAACATAAATGTATTAATGTTTTTTATTAAGTTAATTGTTTGTTTTGACATTAATATTTTTTTAAAGTAATTTAAGTGAAAAAACAATAGTTTCTGTACTGTAATTCAGCAAATTGTGACGTCACACTAGGGGGGGGGCGTCGCACAAATGTGACTAGCTGTGACAAGGACGGGGGGAGGGGTATAAAAATCATGAAATTAGTGTGACGTAATTTATGGATGACCCCTTACCACTGTTTTGAGTTTGCCACTTTCTATAAATGTGTTCCCGAACCTTGAATTTAAATGAACAGCGATTATTTGCCATTCTGATTTCCTTGGGCAGCGCGTTCCATAGAGAGACAGATTGAACGAAAAAGGAGGAGTGAAGATAGTCAGTGCGGTGAGTGGGACATTGAAGTTGACGGTTATTAGATGAGCGAAGGTATTTAGAATGGTTTGCGCATGAATATTGGAAGTAGGAAGCTAGATAAACAGGTGATGAAGGAGAGTCGAGAAAAGAAAATAAAGTAGTTAACGCCCTTTGTTGCCTGCGCAGGCGTATGGGCAGCCATTTTAATTGCAACCGATGTGCAGAAACATGATCATATTTACGTAAATTGAAAACGAATCGAATGCAGTTATTTAGAAGACGGTCAATTTTGTTGAGTAGATCTGCATTCAGGTCGTAGTAACACACATCAGCATAATCGATGATAGGAAAAATCAGGGCCTGCACGAGCCGTGCCTTGGTAGTAGACGGAAGGAAGTTACATTTTTTGTTTAGTTCTTGTTCTCTTTTTACTTTGTTTGTTTTATTTACATTTTATTTTTTGCTATTAGTTACTGTTTTTTTACGTCTTGGTAATAATGACGACTCCAAATAAATGTATTTCTTTCTTATATTATCTTTCAAAATTGTATGAAACTTAATTTGTATTTTCAGAATACCAGCATTCTTCCTTAGATGTTTTGCGAGGATACTGGGTCTACGATGGAAGGTCAGAGGGCTGGAAAACGTTGACAATAGTCGGGGAGCGGTTGTTCTTTTGAACCATCAAAGCAGTTTGGATCTTTACGGTGAGTTATTATGATTAGCTATGAACATTTTCATCATCAACTCCACTCATGTTGATCATCATCCAGAACTGTCTATTGTTAGACAAAAACATCATATCATGGGTATCTGTCAGTCAGTAGTGAAGACAAAGGTTCAGTAGCAACAGCCCATGATAGGCCCATTGCAGGACGTTGGACCTCCTCTACATGATATACCATAATTCCCACGCTTGCCAGGCGGATTAAAGGTCGTAGTTTTTTATATTTTCTATGGGATAACGAGATATACGAGCAGATGGATCACCTGATGGTAAGCAATCGTCGTCGCCCATGGACACCCAAAACACCAGAGGCGTTACAAGTGCGTTACCGGACTTTTGAGAACTAGGAATTTGAGGATTGTTGGGGCTTCGGGGAATTTAAAAGATTCAGGTTTATTAGTGAGAGCTGCTGCCCGGTAATTGTCTAATGTGTAATTCCTTGGTCTGATCTTGTATACTCTATGATACTCGCGTACAAAGAAGGGAAAAAGATAAATTTATTCTATTTTACATAAGTTACTACTACTATTGTCTATCTAATATATTTCAAGCAATTTGTATATAACATTTACCGGCAATTTCTGAAATTGTTGACCAGTAAATAAGGTCTATTTTATCATTATTTACATTACAACAGCCATTACAATGCAATGCAGGAATTATCATTGTAATGTTTCCTGTGACATACGATATCTATTCAGTCATCTGATGGGTATCTATGCGGTACCTATTACACTATAATCGTTGGTTTAATATTTATGAGTATAGTTGTTGATCATAAGATCATAAGTTCTGCTCTCACAAATCTCTAATCTTGGGATAAGGGCAAGCTTGTTCTTGTCCCAATTTTACGGAGTCGTGACTTTTGGAGCTGACAAATACATGTAAACGTATTTATGTATGAATATTGTTTCGTTACATTCTTTTGTTTCCTTACTTTTATCTTTTCTTTCATGTTACACGTAATTAGTGCCACTGTACAATGTAACACCCACTATTCACTATTTATGTTATGAGGCCCATGTAATAGGGCGTGAACCTATTGCCATATGCTGGCCACATTTCCAAACTTCGTGCTACTATTAAGATTTTTTTTAAAGCAGAGAATTACTTTGACCGACCCGAATAATCGCACCCGAGACCACTTGCCCGGCAGTCGTACTTGCGACCACTCGGCCAACAAGGCAGTCTTGCATGTTACTTTTGACAAAATGAATCTCAACTATTTTTTTCAACCCCGATACAAACAAAGACGTAATATAAACAATACGCGTAATTTATCTGAATATCGTTATAGCAGCTCCCAAACTAATGAACCGATGATGATCAAATTATTCCAATATTCTTCGAAAGTTCAATGCATATTAATGTTATCGCGATACTAAATACTTCATTTTAAAATGGACCAAAGAACCTGTACCTACACAAAATTGTTTATTTAACTTACATGATTATTTTGAAAACATTTCTACAAGTAGGTCCGTAAATATATTTATGACGATTTCATATATAAACAAGCACTGCACATAACACGTGACTTTGATCTGCATTCAGTATGTACACTGCATAATATATATTTAATTTGTAATCAGTTTTAAGTAGATATGATTCAGTTGATTACATGATGATGAGACATTTTTTTATTTTAAATCAGTACTTAGCAAAGTTTTATTTGGTGCATTTATTAATCTAGATAAAATTAAATTACACGTGAGAAACGTGTCTAAAAGTATCTAATAGCCTAATTCTTTTTGGCGTGGTTCATTATTGTTAGCAAACGTTGGTTTACAAGTCAATGGTAGTCGGAAAATAGTCGTACTAAGTCATAAATTATTATGTTTTCGACTTACGTAATAATTCGAGGAGGAACTCGACTAGTTTCAAGCCATGCTAGAGGCTCATATTTATGAGCAGCATTTCGTGGAAAACATATCTAGGTAATAATTTATTTAGTATGTCTTACGAAAGGTACAAGTACTAAGTCGTGTTGGGAAATATATTTTTCTTTTTAATATTCGAATGTAATGGAATAAGAAAATAATTGGGTTTATCATAAACAGGTCACATATGTATGTACCGTAGTTACTTTAATGAACGTATCGCATTATAATAGGTCCACAGATTGTGCAAGCGATATGGTTTACTATCTAGATAAGAAAATATGAAGGCTATCAGATTTTTAATGTAAAATAACGAGCAGGAGATAATTTAGAAACAATAAAATATATTTATTGGTTTTGATATGATTTTAGTTTAATAATAAAGTAGTATTTTTAACTTAATTAGCAATAAAATCACAGTCAATGCATTCATCTCGAAGTAAATGTTTTATGCAATTTTATTGTGCAACCGCATGAAAATTCGTTTTCTCGAGTGTTCTTAATCTATACATATAATAAAATTGTAGAAAAGTGCTATCTGTACATTGAAAATAAAAATAAAAAAAATAGCAGGGGCTATTGTTATGTCGATGTCGAACCCAAAAATGTAACTAACTTTTTTTTTGTCTGTTTGTCTGTTTGTCTGTTCACGCTAATCTCAGAAACGGCTTATCCGATTTGGATGCGGATTTCACGAATATACTGTGGTCTGCTTCAGTTATGCTTTAGTGTTTGTTTCATGTCAATCGGTTCATAAATAAGAAAGTTACGTCAAATTAAAGAATCACGTCGAACACTGTCTATCTATCTATCTATACATCTATACATATAATAAAATTGTAGAAAAGTGCTGTCTGTACATTGAAAATAAAAATAAAAAAAATAGCAGGGGCTATTGTTATGTCGATGTCGAACCCAAAAATGTAACTAACTTTTTTTTTGTCTGTTTGTCTGTTTGTCTGTTCACGCTAATCTCAGAAATGGCTTATAAATATATATATATTTAACAGGGTGCGGAAAAGGTGATAGTGGTTTTATTCCTCAGATTCCTCTCATTCCAAAAAATTTTCCGTTTAATTTTAAACGAATTCAGTTTCCAGTGAGCCTATGTTTCGCCATGACAATTAATAAAGCTCAAGGTCAGACTCTAAAAGTTGTGGGTATAGATCTAAGTATCAGCTGTTTTTCGCACGGTCAATTGTATGTGGCTCTGTCCCGTGTTAGCAATCCCAGCAGCCTGTATGCTTTCACCCCCGATGGCCATACGTCTAATATTGTATATAGAGAAGCATTACAGTAAAGTAGGTTTTTTAGCTACCCAAAATGACTGTGATTATGATCCAAATCTAAAATAAAAATAAGTATATATTTAAAAAAAAACGCTGCTCATAGTCACTATTCTACGCGAACGAAGTCGCGGGCACAGCTAGTATAAAATATTAGACGTATGGCCGTCGGGGGTGAAAGCATACAGGCTGCTGGGATTGCTAACACGGGACAGAGCCACATACAATTGACCGTGCGAAAAACAGCTGATACTTAGATGTATACCCACAACTTTTAGAGTCTGACCTTGAGCTTTATTAATTTTCATGGCGAAACATAGGCTCACTGGAAACTGAATTCGTTTAAAATTAAACGGAAAATTTTTTGAAATGAGAGGAATCTAAGGAATGAAACCACTATCACCTTTTCCGCACCCTGTTAAATATATATATAATTATAAGCCATTTCTGAGATTAGCGTGAACAGACAAACAGACAAAAAAAAAAGTTAGTTACATTTTTGGGTTCGACATCGACATAACAATAGCCCCTGCTATTTTTTTTATTTTTATTTTCAATGTACAGACAGCACTTTTCTACAATTTTATTATATGTATAGATAGAGAAGCATTACAGTAAAGTAGGTTTTTTAGCTACCCAAAATGACTGTGATTATGATCCAAATCTAAAATAAAAATAAGTATATATTTAAAAAAAAACGCTGCTCATAGTCACTATTCTACGCGAACGAAGTCGCGGGCACAGCTAGTACTTACTATAATCACTATCTATCACTAAATCTAGTTTCATCAAGATCATATGTGTGAGACATTAGTTAGCAACAAAGCCACATGAGGTATAATCAAGGTAATAAACCATGTCTAGTAGTTTGTGAAAAAAAATAGAAAAAAAAGTATATAACAATAATTATGTATGTTTTATATTTCATTTTAGAGTCAATTCTAAGGTTTTGCTATGCTAAGTTTTTTAACAAAAGAGTCTTTGTGTATTATTTAAAAAAGTGACAAAAGCATTATCTTTATTCGCAAGTCATTTTATTTTCAAATGGACAAGGTTAATTAGGAAATAATGTTAATATTCAACGCCCCACCTAATCCCTGGTTACTTAACGTTATCAGTTATAACGGACTTTGTATCAGTCTGTTGTTTATCCCTGATAAGAGAAAGCTGATGGAAATTGTTATTAGATAGATAAAGCCTGCCACTGTTAAGTACATAGTGGATCAGTTCCCATCGACATTATTAAAAAAAAACCTTTATTGCTGTTAGTTCTTCTATACAGTATGTTAAACGAATCTATTAAACCAGGGCTGTCCAACTTTTGCGGGCTAATTAAATTTCTTTCAAAAGCTGGAGGGCCAACAAAATATTTTCAGTTGTATAATGACGTTTAACATTGTATTTTTAACTTACAGACAAAACTTGTATACAAATCATACACTGAATTTAATTATTATTGTGATTGCACATAAGATGAAGATGTTGAGATTAAAATGTGTGTCGCGGGCCACATGATAACATGGCCTTTGTTTGTACAGCCCTGTATTAACTACTAGTTACTTCCGCGCGGTTTCACACGCTCTGCTCAGCTCCTATTGGTCCTAGCGTGATGTTTTATAGGCTATAGTCATCCTCGATAAATGCACTATCCAACATAAAGCACTATCCAACACAACAAGAATTATTCAAAACAGACTTGTAGTCACGGAGATTAGCGCGTTCAAACAAACAAACAAAAAAACAAACTCTTCCGCTTTATATAATAGTATAAGATTACACTATTGTATTGTACTATTGCTAATTAAATTAAATATCGGCGATCGGATTGTTTTTTCTTACAGCTTGTCCCACGACATAGGACTTCTCCAAAGATTTCCATGACTTTATCTCTAGCTATGCGGGTCCATTCTGACTCCGCGACTTGTCTAATAGGTATCATCTTCCCAACGTTTGCGCTGTCTCATTCGCATCGATATTATTAGGTGTATTTATTTATATTGGTGTTTATATTAAGTTCGTACAGCGTATTTGATCAAAGTCAAAGCATTTATTTCAGTTAATCGTTAATTAGCCACTTTTGATATACAGGTAGGTAAGAAAACAAAGGTTAATTCGGCTCAGACAGTACAATTAATTGACTACTGAGCCAACTATAAGAGATTTACACGATTATAAGAGATTGTGTGTATCAAATCTATATTTTTTTACCTACATATCAAATAATTTTTATCTCCAGAATCACTAGTCCGATTTCAATAATTCTTTTGCGGTGGATAGTGCGTTTATCGAGGAAGGCTATAGGCTAAAACAGCGCCGGAGTAGCTACTATCAAATGACTTTTTTTTAAGGGGGAAAAATCATCGAATCACTGCTCCCGCTTGGGTGAGGCGGGAGGGAGTGTCAGACTCTTACCGACTAAAAACCACCCCGTTCCTTCTCTTGCACGTCGAGCCGGAGCCCCGGTTACCCGTTAGGTTCTCCGCGACACTATCAAATGACTTGGCTAAACGATATGGCTGACTGTTCTGTAGATGTAACTTGAATGAATTTTAGAATAGGTATAACTTTTTTGTTTTAATTTCCCAAAATAAAAGTAGCCTATGTTACTCCTTAGTACATCAGAAACCTGCCAATAAAAGTCTTGCAAAATCGGTCCAAAGCTAATGCTAGTACAAACAAACAAACAGACAGACAAACAAAAATGTATTATTTTAATATTACAGGCAGACACTCCAGTTTTATTTATCTGTATCTATAGATATACAATAGATACGTTAACATAGAAAACTTTTCTTTCTATATTAATTTAAATAACTGCTATCTACTGGGAATTTTCACAGGTGGTTATTTAATATTCTTAGCTTATTCATACATCGCTCTAATATCTAATAATATAAAATGATGAATATCAATATTCTATAGTCTGATAGTCAACACCTTTACGTCATTATACTAATGTTTCACTTATCTTTCGACTTTCAGTAATGTTTCGTCATTTAGGCAAAAGATTATCGAGGATTAATTTATTAATAAAAGAATTTAAGAATTAAGAATATAATTTTAATGTTACCATGACACCTGTATGTAGTTGGTATTTAAGTGGAATCGATGAAGGATATTTTCATAATAGGCTTTTAATTGGTATCTGTAATTGGAGCAAGCACAGATGCAGCTTGTAACAAACCCAAGTTTAATTCCTATTCTAATAACTTCCAAAATACAAAAACGGTAAATACTTTTAATACAAATAACAGATGTTGTCCAATTTGTCCCTTATAAACTGTGGAGCCCGATTGTAAGGCCTCATGAGACCAATTGAGAAATTAAACCCTCGAAGGAACCCACTCAAATGTATCAAAATGAGCGTAGCCGTTTAGGAGCTCAGTGACATATAGACAGTCGTACATACCGAATACCTACCTATAATAAAGATAATCAATTTGTCAATGACATCAAAACATCTATAAAAGCATCTAGAAACAAAATATTCCAATATACTTTGTACTCACAGATTCTATTATTACGAATTCTAATCTCTTGTCATGAACATTCCGTTCTTAAAATGTTGCGTAGGTGATTCTATTACCTACTTATAGGTACTGTTATCATTTCTTTGAAAGTCGATCAGCAGTTCGTATTACCATGACTAATATGCAATGATATTTACGATTATTACCGCTCTAATATGTACTTACTAAGCTATTATAAGAAACGAAATGATGGATGACGTAGGGTATGACTTCAGAACAGCACATTATGCAGGATTGTTTCACATTACCTTTACAATTTTCAGTGTTTAGGCAGATTAGATACTTCATATGAATATTCAATGTTTCTGTGTAAATGGAAATTTTCCATGATGGAAATATTTTCGGTAATTTTCTGGATGATTGTTGTTCTTATTCTTATGCAGTGCGGAGTGGTGATTCACACTGTTAGTCATAGGGCTGTGCTGAATAATGAAGTTCGGTTTTAAAAGGCGCGTAGATTATGGACTAAACACTTTTCCCTAGTTGCGGATAATTGCTAAAGTTACAAAGAAGCTTTCGTCTTTAGTAAGGATATAGGTAGGTACCTTATATTTAAATTGAGTCATCTTCCTTCCTCATAATTTCAGTATGGTGTTTATTTGACATGAGTTGTATGGAGTTTCAGTCAAAAATCGCCAAATCTATTGTATCTATAGTAGGTATGACTCGCATATTTTCATGCAAAATAATATTGATTGACATATTTTATTTTGTTTTTTAGCGTTAGCAATAATATGGCCGCTCATGTCTCGGTGTACGGTGGTATCGAAGCGATCACTGCAGTACCTCGTACCGTTTGGCACTGCGACTTGGCTGTGGGGCACCGTATTCATAGACAGAGGAGCGAAAAGTGCACGCGATGCCCTCAACAAGCAAGTCGACGCTATCAAGAACGAAAAGGTACTGAAATACTTCCTTTCTACATTTCCAGAACATTCGGCACGTGAAATTAATCAGATATACATTCAAACGTTCATATCTAAGAACTAAGTAGGATTACTCAACGATTAAAACAATAGCATAGTCCCCACCTATTTAATTAATCATTGATAAGTAGGTAATGTAATCAGAGGTGTGTCGTGTGGTCATACAACAGGTATTGTTCAATATTGTATTGTTTAGTGAACTTTATATGCATTATTATAAGTGTAATTTTGATGATGTAAGAGAAAACATGTTGTGGCTTCAACTTCTCACGTTTCTATGTAGGTACTATTCATAGAAGATAGAGGTAACTCTTTATGTGAGTTATGTTATACGTAGGTATTAGTCCCGTGATAGCTATGGGAACGTAATATGAGATGACCTAATTAAGTTTCCAGGCTCTTATAGTAAGAGAAAATAATATGTAAGTAGTCGAAAATTGTTATAGTGATCCAATAGGAATGTTCAATAATTTTGCCAATAAATCAACCTTTGCCATTGGTGTCAAAGTCGAGTTACAAATGTAGATGATAGGTATATTGTATTGTATGCAACACACGCGTTTTCCTGCTAGCCAGAGTCTAATGTGTTCGTATTAGTCCTGCAAATAAAGAGACCTTGTAAGTACTTGCGTTGCTTACGGCGCATTTCGTCATTATACGTATGATCTAATCGCTGGTACACCTACCCGCTAGTGTCGTTAATGTTTACGATAGACTGGATTTCTAAACAAATATTTGACTGGACTAAGCAAATATCCTAGTCCCATTGCCGGGCCGCATCAATGACTTTGTCGGAAGTTCATTAACTCTTAATTTGGTTTTTTAAACAAAACTTTGTGTATTGGAGATTAGTACATATATGTACATATACATACTTACGTAGGTACTTAATGATAGGTACTTAAAGTTACCTTTAAAAGCAAATGGAACACGAACAACGCTGACGGTATCCGATAATAGATTTACCTCATACCAAATTCCATATCCCGTGCTCCGACAGAGAAAACCTAAAAGTCCGATGATGGTCCAATCCAGAATTGAAAACAAGACACATTCGGTCCCCTTTCTTACTTACATTCACTTGACCAGCGACACGGAAATGAGAAATAACAAACTGACCTTTTATTTCGAGATGTTGCAATTGTCCAAAGTAACAATAGTTTAGGCAACAACGTTTACAATGCTACACATGCATAATTCACTCGTAAGTGGAGTTCCACTTTTATTGATGCCGTATTCAAAACCAAAGTTCATTGGCCCTGTAAGCGTATGTAAGTAGTATAAATCGAATGTTATATAAACATTTACTCACATTATATTATGCTGAAAGAAATTGCTTGCGTAATTATTTAGCAGTTTGGAAAATGTATGGTTGTCTGTTTTCTGCATAGTAAGATATTTGGCAAGCAATAAGTTGCTATGCAGATAGCTTTTTAGCTGTACTGGGGGGTGCTAATTAGTAAATATGAGGTGTAATATTTTTAACCGACTTCAAAAAAGGAGGAGATTTTCAATTCGATTGTACCTATAATGCTTTTTGTCATGCATAAGATGAGGTGGTAGGTACTTTAAAAATCAATGGACATTTTACATTAAGTACACTTTGTTTTAAACAACTTACAACATTGCAGATTACAGACAGCTTATGTTCGAAATATTTTTAAGCTTAAAAATATAAGTCACCGTCATCTAGACAAGTTTTAATTATGTAGTTTGGTATTACGATAACGGCTACTTTATAATTTAATTTGTTTGTTATTGTGTTCATAAGGTATAACAAGTTACCTACCTAGCTTTTCAGTACTCGTAGATAATGTGAACTTTTGTACCTAGGCAGAACAAAAACTGGTTCTCCGGGCCTTTGGGGAAAAGTACCCAAATGATACCTATGCGTTGTAATATTTATGTTAATTGTTATTAGTTTTGTTTTTTAATTAGGTAATGCAACCTTGTTTGTTTAGTGGTCTCTAGCGAGACTGACGAGTAAGGAGGTCCCATAATCCCTGGTCTGGTCTGGAAAGTAGATTGTTTCTCATATGAATGAGAAATTTATTTTTTGCAAGTCAGGCTAAGAATTTGTTAGATACCTACCTACGTAAAATTTTTCGTTTATCCAGTCTTCCGTGACATGGAATTATTTACAGCCAGTTTACTTTTGTTTACTATATTAAAGAAATGAGGTAATTTACTCTGATTTATAACACGACAGAAAATATTATGTAGAATTATGCGTGCGCTCGTTGCGTACGCACATGCGTGTACCTATCTACACGTGTGGAACGAGCCTAACATTTTCATAATAAGATATTTTTTTGCAAAATGAAAATGTTGCTATTACTTATTCGATCCAATTTTTTATTTGTATAAAAAGTAAGGCAATTTAATATATTAAAATATTCATACATTTATTTTAATAAGTTGATATTTGTACCTACTACGGGGATTTTTATTACCGCAGTAAATAAAAAATGCTAATGAAACGAACCATAATGAGTGTTATAAATTAACTAAAGTACAATAGGGTTACAACCAAATGAATTCGTACAAACTATTTAATCGAACCTTAAAGTCTGCTGCTAACCTTGGTCATTAATTCATACTAGCTCGTGAACTTTGCAAGGTAAAATCGCATTCATAGGCTAATGTTAATGTAAACAAATAAATTGGCAACGAGAAAATATCAGGCATTCTAGAACAAATAGGTACCTATCTACCTAATTACATCAAATATTTTTTTAGTGTTGCGGTAATTTAAAATCCTAATTAGATAACCTATTTACAATCTGCGATCCTTCTTCTTACGAAAAGAAACCTTTTAACTACATAATATTTTAGAACTTAGGTACATTCCTTAATCAAACATAAAATATTTCGACTGTTCATACAATAACATTATAAAATTATCACACTTCCATTTATTGATTTTATGACCAACTTAATTTTAGTGTTTTTCAAGGAAATTATTAAGAAATAAGTATACTGTTTGACACTAAAAGAACGTGACGTCACAATACCCAATCTCGTACAAAATTCATAGAAAACCGTTTTTGACAGTTCGAAAAAAGTATTGAATTTGACTAGTTGGCAAGAACCCAACTGTATACTCTTTTATTACCTAAGTAGATTTTTCATTAACTGTAGGCACCTAGGTTATGTTAATATTGTTATAATAATTATGTGCATACGATTTAAAGATTTGTGTTTACACATTGTTTGAAGATAGTTCGTGTAATTAGTCATATTGGTTCTATTGTATCGTATTTAAATGATGGGTGAGGCAAAATGTTATTGCATATGGGCTATGTTCAGATTTTGATAACACGCGCTTACAACTACATAGGTACATTTTATTCAGACGTGTTATCAAAACGCTTACCTAACGCTTGCCATACATAATAAATACAGGCTTAGACCTAGGTAATTATGGTATCACTTTAGTAGATATTAACTCATTAGTTTTATTTATTGACTAGTGCCGAAATCTACTTTAGAAATGAAATAGAAGGATTGCGGTATAGATAACGCTGACACTATTTAGTTTTTACCTACCCCCATAGGCTATAGGAATAAGGCGTCAGTTTCCTATGTAGAACTAAAATAATAACACATGCCTTTTATCTTAATTCACAGCGAAAACTCCTCCTGTTTCCCGAGGGGACGAGGCACTCTGGTGACAGACTGTTGCCGTTCCGCAAGGGTGCATTCCACGTGGCAATGGACGCGGGCGCGCCCATACAACCCGTTGTTATCTCAAAGTACCATTACCTCGACGGGAAGCGACACAAATTCGGCTCAGGTGACTATTTTACCTGTTTACTATGAAACTGGTTTCCCCGAGGGGAACGCGGGCTTTCTATGGAATTTTTACATTTTAATGAGTTGGGTGCATTCTAATATTCTAGTGTGAGTTGTATTGTGTCACACACAGTCTGTGTGTTTAAATGCAGTGAATTTTTGATATGAATAATTTATTTATTGATGTAATTTGTTCTATTATGATTATTTTCAATGCTTATTTCTTATGAGATTTTACATAATATAACATCACGCCTTTTATCCTCGAAGGGATAGGCAAAAGTGCACATTATGTCACTGTACCAACAATGTAACACACACTTTCAATATTTATGTTACGAGTCCCATGTAATAGGGGGTGAGCCTATTGCCATATACCGGGTACAATTCCAGACTCCGTGCTACTACTGAGATTTTTTTAAGAACCCAGTTATTATTTACCCCACTCGGGAATAGAACCCGAGACCCCGTGCCCGGCAGTCGCACTTGGGACCACTCGGCCAACGAGGCAGTCAGATGAGATTTTCTATTGTTTGTAAATGATATGTTCATGTTACCATTTTGTGATTCCAGGCGAGTTCATAGTATCGTTCCTGCCAATGATTGAGACAGAAGGCCTGACGAAAGATGACATCGTGTCGCTGGTGGATAAGACACAACTGAACATGCAGGAAGAGTTCACAAAGATCTCGATGGAGACGTTAGAGCGACGCAACCGAATCAAGGCTGATTAGAATGAGGTATTCATACAATACAAACAAAGGATACTGTATACTGGGAACATTTAGTAGTCAAAGCATCGCTTTTTAAGGGTAGATAGTAAATCATCGAATGACGCGAGAGAGTGTCAGACTATTACTCAATAAAAATAACCCTATTCAAAGACCTACATGAGATGGTGTTATGTAAGTGCAGTGATCAGCAGGCCAACATCCTTTCTGTCATTGTTTATTAGATTTTTAACTTGATTGTTGTAACATAAAGTCGAAAATTCAATAATAAAATTTTACAGACTGGATTAGATTCATCTGTTGTCTTCAAACACCCAGAAGGGCAAGACATATATCCAAATGTTTCGAGAAATTAATAATTAATTAATTTATAGTTATTTCAATCTTCGTTGGCGATGCTTGGACCGACTCCCATATTTCACCCTCTAGTACAATTACGAATAGCTTTCTAGTGGTAGATCTGTAGTATGTTACAATGTCATAAAACCACATCAAGCAACGCCATATAATAGTTTCGACTGGTATTGTAGTCATACCGTCTTTTCTTATTTTCCAGGTAATTACAAATTCATATCGTCGTGTAAAAAGAGCTGTGATAAACAAACGTATAAAGAAATAGTTACTAAAATGTAATTTGACAGTTAGTTGTTGGTGTTTACATTGTTGTTCTGTGTAGAAATGTCCCTATATTTATATATTAATAAAATAAAGTTAATTAATTTAAAAGGTACATGTGTTTCATTGAAAATGCGTTTACCCTGTGATTTCTTTTTATTGAAAAGATTTCACATACGAAAATATGTAAAAATATACATTTCATCGTTTTTTTTTCTACGGAATTGTCACACGAATACATTTGAATTAGGTACTAAATAGTAGATATAATAATATTTAGATACATCACAATATTTGCACAGATACGAGTACATTGATACAATTAGATAGAAACATTATAAATGACCTTACAAGCTATTTATTATTTTACCTAGCATAGGTATTAATTCTGGAATTTTGGTATTCAAGGAACAAAAAATAATAATACACATTATGCTTTCGATTACATTTTCGAATTTATACATACACATAAATCATCGAAGTTATATTTTCGGATACAAGATATCAGGTTAATCGAAAACCAGTAAAATATTATTGAAATACATAGTGTGATTTCATTATTTTACAAAATATAACCATTTATTCTGAGAACAATTTGATATTTTGGTCGATCATTTGAAGATGATAGCACAAAAAATGGCACAAAAGTTAACACAATTAGATATGTCCGTTTGTCCGTAGTTAAATATAAAAGTACTTTATTGTAAACGTTTTCTAAAAGTTATTTAAGGTGATTGTGCCATAGCGTTTATTTAATATTTTAATTACGTAGGTAATGTAGTTCTATATTTTCACTTTAAACCTTTTCAAGGAAGTAAAATAAAGGTTTATTAAACTGTCAAACACCAAGCGGTCACCGGTGACCGCAACCTATTGTTCTATAATTGTGTCTACAAAACCGGTACTCGACGAGTTAACCGTGACAATGATAGTTATAAAGTAGGTACACGTAATATGAGACTAATGTCCAAATATTTAAACGCTACTCAATTTGAAATCGCAATCAAGTATAGTTCTGTCGCTACAAATTCGTTGTACAATGACAGAGATGGCACGATATTCAAGTACAACTTACAATTCAGCAGCCTTTCAGTCCGGATGTAACAAACAGACAAATATTGTGATTACTAAGTTATGTGAAGATAAACCTGCACATAAGAGCAAAATTGGTAAAAAGCATTTTGCTTTGATGCTTCTCGTGGCGCAGAAATTAAAAATTATGTAGTATTAGACAAAGTTCAACTTTTTAATCAATGTTCGGTCAAACAATTAACGACCTCCTTATAAGTATGCCTGTTAACTTTACAGAATATGGTAAGTAACACATATGAAGAATAAGGAAATTATAGGAAGGAAATAGATTTCCGACCGAAAACTAGAGCAAAAAAAGGACAATGATGTAGGAGCCTTTAAATGGGTCATTTACGAGCGAATATAGACAAAATATAAATAGATGTTTTAAATATAGAACGTTTTAATGATGCGATATATAACTTGATAATAAACCAAAATAATCGAGAGGTATTTATTCGAAGATAAATTATTCGAGCCTTTGACTAAATTATTATTGCGAGTAGCGAAATGCATTCGTATGGAGTCTAGGTTGATTTTTACAAGTTTTTATTATTAACTTACAAATAAAGACATCAGTGTGTCAGTATATATTCGAGAATATGTATTATTCTTTTTAATTACCCTTTCGTCGGATTATAATTTCGACAAGGTAAATGTATTAGCATGTAGTCGGGGCTGGTCTACTTCCTACAAATGTTATAAAAATTCTTTACGTTCATGGTGTAAAAGAGGAAGTCGATTCGCTGTATACATTAGAACTATTTATCAGTAGTACAAAAGTATAAATAATAGCAATTATTTTATTTGATATGTAATATGTAATGTAATTGCAGTGCAAAAAGTCAACTCCGTTGATGAATGTTTACGGTTAATTAATGCCATGTTTTTTTTTAATTCATGACATATTGTTATAGAGTTGTAACTCAGATACAGTATGTGTATTGAGTATATCGTAAAATGACGTAGATATTAGAAATTTACAGGTTACAGGGGCTAATTAGATATTTGTCTTTATCGCCAGTGAGCGGCAAATGGAACGGGAGCGCAGAAAGTATCGAATTCAATAACCGAGGTGGTTTAATCGTCATAAAGCCCTTTTTTTTAACCTTATCAAACTAGGTAGGCTGACTGAGGGTCACCATGAACGAGATGCAGTTGTATGTTAGTATTTTATCTTTCCTCCAGAATATTTAGTTGGATCTTTTCTCCACATTTCGTAGTATTTGATATTTGTATTTTGCTTAAAACAATATTTGCCTGTTTGCTAACTAATAACAAAGGAGTATGTCAAGCATTGTGAAAACGCTCAGGGAACTAAATACATTAGGTAAGTATAACTTAATTAGAAATTTAAGTGTATTTACTATTAGTCAGTAGAAGCGTAAAAGGCCTATATATAATTTGATATACACAGTTTGGATTTTGTTCAATACTTTTAGATATTAGTAAAATAATATGCAATGGCAGTAGCAACAAACATCTCTATTGTGTATGTTCGCATACGTATGTGATAATACGCGGTTTTAAGTTAGTCTCTATAGGTATGTTTACTCATTAATAATTAGCATAGGCAGAATTTGTGTGCTCCGACAATGAATTTACTATGCATTTATAGAAAGTTTTTCAATACAGTGATGAAGGAGAACATAAGATACGTTAGAATGATCATAAATTATTAAAATCAAACATAATCAATGTTCTAATCCAGGGCTGTCCAAACAAAGGCCCGCGACACACATTTTAATCTCAACATCTTCATCTTATGTGCAATCACAATAATAAAATTCAGTGTATGATTTGTATGCAAGTTTTGTCTGAGTAAAGAATACAATGTTAAACGTCATTATACAACTGAAAATATGTTTTCGCCCTTCAGATTTTGTAAGAAATTTAATTAGCCCGCAAGGGTATATAATTTGGACAGCCCTGTTCTAATCTTTACTGTCCAAATACCCAAACGCTACTCAACTTTAAGTCGCCCTTAAGTATAATTCTGTCGCTACAAATTCTATGAAAATGACAGAGATGGCACGATATTTAAGTACAAACAAAAATTGAGTAGCCTTTCAGTATTCGGGTGTAAGCGCCTGACGTACGTTATAAGTACTTGATACACCGAAGCGGCGAAGAACGTAACGGGTTTTTTTTTTAAGGGGGAAAATCATCGAATGACTGCTCCCGCCTGGGTGAGGCGGGAGGGAGTGTCAGTAAGAGTGCAGGAGAACCTGCACGTCGAGCCGGAGCCCCGGTTACCCGTTAGGTTCTCCGCGACAACCTAACGGGTTACCGAAGACTACTTACTAGAAGTCATTCGATGATTTTCCCCCCTTAAAAAAGTACTTGATACACAATCGTATGTTTCTCAGAAAGTACAAGTCTCAAACTCTTCATTTTCAACTCACTATCTTCCCTTTACATTCCATGTATTCTGTATGACTGTTGTCATGAAGACTAGATATTTAATACATTATTTTTTACGTAGATTTTATGTTAAAATTGTGATGTAGTTTTAATAGGTAAAAGTCTATAGTAACTGTGATAAAAATAGCACTCATACTATACAGCCGTCTTGAAGCATTCATTTAAATGTTTTAGGACAGTTCTGAATTTTTATAAAACGTAGGTATAAATCTTTCAATCAACCATTGAAATTGTCAAATATCAATAGATTTTGGACTATATTACAAAATAGGAAAGTTTAAAGTCTTTGTACGTTATCGAACACTGTTACTTTTATGAGCCAGACTTTGCAGAGATGAATTATGCAAGATATGCACTCAATAATTTCTTTATTACAATTTTATAAGAAAATTTGTAAAATAACATTTCTATATGGGGATTAAGTTGAACCACAAGACACCTTTACAGGTTCTAATTTCCTTATTCAATAGTAATAAATAAAATATATTCGATACCGTAAAGTATTCTACTGCAAATACCATTGTTTTCTAATCTCAACACTTAGATGAATACTCCAAACGCTGATATAGCATCTAAACTATAATTTTACACACATAATAAACATCAAGTAATGTCTTATTCAAAAAGCATAATACAATTATACACAATAATATAACAGTTTAACGCATTTTCAAAATGCGCTCTACTAAATCTAACTTAAAATCGAATAATTAAAATTTATATAATATTATCGCTTGCGATTAATATCGAATGGCATGTCAGCAGCGTTAAAATACAAGAAAAATATTGGATGAACCATTATAGTTAATTCATATTAGGTCAGAATTGAAGCTTCAATCTGATGTCATAGAAAAATAACCTTTATATTAGCTTAGTAAGCTGCACATTCATTTAAAGATAAAAATACGACGATCGTAGTTCCATCTAGCTATAACAAGACACTAGAGCCTACCGAGGCAATCCGTATGCGAGAACTCATTTGCCTTCCGAGAAGAATCATCAGTAGGTCTACGGATGATTTTATTTGTGCTTTACTTTGAGGAGATAAGACTGAATTTGCTGTGACATTTCACATTGAAGTTTCCGATTTCCGCTAATATAAATAGATCTTAAAATAATATCAGTTTTATTCCCCAAAGGGATAAGGGATAGGGTAGAATTATATGCCGTATCACCCAACATTCGCCAGTTACATTATTTATTTATAAGTAAAATAATAATTAAGTAAATTATTAGATGGCCGCACAATGAAGGTTATATAGCATCTATTAATTGGCTAGGAAAAAGGTTTAATCTCATTTAGTTATCCTAAATTCAGCCTTCATGTGCTGTCCATAAAATTAGTTTAAAATTTAATATGGCATGATACATTTACATATAATAATAATAATAATAATGCCATAAACTAAATATATGATTACATAACAGTAATTGTAACAGGAGTGTAAACAACATAATATTGAGCTCAAATACATATAGTACTGAGATATTAGGTAGTTATTTTATTATGGTACATATTAAGTTTTAGCGAAATACGATTACCACTCTAGTGGTTCGAATATAAAGTTCAAATTGTAACTGAATTTTTATCAGACACAGAAATTTATAAAACACGGTATAATTTACCATAAAATACATATACTAGCACGTATTTATAAATTGTAATACGATATTAATTTCTCCTTTCGAAATTTTTACTAATTCGAAATAATAAAATGCAATAGTTTTTGGATATTTTAAAATCTTTGGTTGCTTACATACCAATAAGGACTCGAAATATCAATATTCTCATTTTTTTATTGAATATTTTATTTCGTGATATTTAAATTTTTACTCCACCTAATCATATCTTTTATTCTCCGTTTATTGGCTGAGCAATTTATTCCAATTCATTTTGACACGACTAACTTCATTTTTTTTTTTATAAATATTAATAAAATACTATTACTAATAAATTGTTATTATTATAAAAATATTATTATGAAATTCGAAATGTAGATTATGTTTTCATAACTACATTAGGAGAATATAACAATTTACTCGTAAATATTTTTTATATCAAATATAGATATCGTATCGAAATTATGTTTGTTCTAAACTACCGAATAAGAAAAAAAAGTATATGTCGATGGCGCGCTTCAAGAGTTAATTATGACGTCATGTCCGCCTAAGAGTGGGGGAGATTGAGTGACTTTCAACATCGCACAACAGCAGGCACTCTTGGCTGGGACTCCGAACGAACAACGACGCACTGGGAATGCCGTCGGCCGAATAATGATTGCAATCATCAGAATCAGTGCTGTGAAATTGTCATTGACATTATATTGTTTGAGATTATAACTGTGAATATTATTACAATGTAAGTGGACTAAACTTTGATGTATTTTGACCATTTGTGAACTTTGAAAGGGACTGAGACCTCTGAGTTTGTTTCGGCGTTTCTTCTCAGAATAGTCCGTAGGAAATGCCGACTCTGTGAAATTGTCATTGACATTATATTGTTTGAGATTATAACTGTGAATATTATTACAATGTAAGTGGACTAAACTTTGATGTATTTTGACCATTTGTGAACTTTGAAAGGGACTGAGACCTCTGAGTTTGTTTCGGCGTTTCTTCTCAGAGTAGTCCGTAGGAAATGCCGACTTAATTAAAATGCGAACAAGTAAAGGTGCACTGTCGAAAGTAAACGTTACTTTATTTACGAAGATTTAATTGTTTTATTACTGCATAAACATACCTCTACCGATATATATGACGAAGAGGGCTCTCGCTTGACATCGCCCATACCATCCTCCGACATCAGAAGTGGGATGGACTAGGATGATTGAAAATGTTAAAATTATATTATCGGAGCCAGTTTGTGAAGAACTACCCACATGCAAATGTGACAAAGAAGATGGTGCTACAAGATTGGAAGTGCCTAGCTATACGTGGCTAAGTACTCAGTAGTGAGGATTCGGCGTGGCTAACGTTGAGGCAGCTACTTCGAACTGAATTGCTATCTGAAGCCATGAATGAATGAATGAAGACATGACGTCATAATTAACTCTTGAAGCGCGCCATCTTTATTCATTTTGTTGTTATTCCTTCGTTTTGTAGTAAATCGAAATCCCGTACTAATGACCGTTCCGACATATACGCGATGAATAAAAATAAATAAACCAGTATAAGTACAATGGGTCAAATAAATATGGTCCCATCATAAAATTTTGATAAACAAATAAGATATAAGTTAGCATAGGTTTAAAATGGCACCGTAATTTAAATCCACATTAAAATAATAAAAATATTCGAACATTATCGACAAAATGAGACGAATTTTGGTAACTTCACGTATTTAAATTCATATTTTCATAATCTACTTCCTAAGAAGATTAATCGAGGATGCTGATGAGTTTCTAACGTGTTTACTTTAACGAACAACTGTAGGAAAGAATAATAATTGCAAATTTTATGGATTAGCCGTCGCATTTGGTTACATCGTGTTCTTGTTAGGTAATATATTACTTTAGGGCGAGAAACTTTCCTTTATAAAGTTGTTTTTTTGGTAAACAGAATGATTACAACGTGTTCTGAATTTATACAACGTTTTTAAGTAATTTATTACAAGTATCTTTACTGATTGTTCTAGCGATTCTTCGGTATGCAAAGCACATGCACCTGACTTCACTTTTAGTCGTTTATATGACTAGAGAGTAAAAGGTTTCATTGAGGAACGTATCCTAAATAAATCTTAACTAAACGTTGAAGCGACTATAGAATAACTATTAAGGCGCATTGTTTGAATCTAAGCGATACATACAAATAAATAATACTGTATATCGTATTATGATAATGAAGCGTTTGTAATGATAAGGCGTACGATTATTGGTTTTTGAGGTCTTTGATAAGGGCGAAGTAATTATGTAGCATATATCGACCTCCTTTCATAAAGGCTAGGTACACATATTTGTAGTTTTTTGTTATTACTATTTTATTCCGAACTTAAACGTATACCACACGTACGGTTGGAATATGTAAACGATAAGTACTAACGGTGTTCGCCTATAATAACATATTTATTAAAATATTAATGGTTCTTCCACATATCCGCCATTTAATTGAAAATAGAATGGCACATATATTGTAGTTTCATTTTACATTCAGATTTTTTTTTAAGAGACAAAATTCAAATAAAACTTAAAATATTGCACCAAATTGTTGACAATGATTTGACAAACACATGCAATGCACTGATGTTTAGTAAAACATTGCATGTTAGTACATCCTACAGTTCTATACGAACAATGAAATTCAATAACGTACATTGTGCGCTTTAATGTAAGGTCGAATTTTCAATAACAAGAAATTTGTCAACACAACACTACGGTAAGTATAACTATTAACTAAACATTAAAAAGCAGTTCACTAGTGGAACATTGTTCAAATACTGAAATGGTAATTGCTTCAGTCAAGTTAATGTGCGATGTTGCTTAACGAGTGATTAAAATTCCACACTGCACTGGTGCAGAAACAAACAGCTACACTGCAACTGTGATGTGAATACAAAAAAAGGTCATCACTACAAATGATAGTCGCGGCGTGCCGCCTGTCGCAACTAAATCATCTGCAGAGTGCTAATTAACCGGTCTAATTGTTCCTTAACATTCTATAGTACTCTACTTGATACATGTCTCCTTCTTAGCCTCGAGTCACCTTTACTGTAAAAACGTATTATGACGTGTCCCGGCCCAGCTCACTTTATAAGCGTTACAGCCTTAGTATACATAAGAAATATAGAACTAATACACATTTTATAAAAATAATACTTCATACAAGTTTTACATAAATAAAATATTAACTACAATGTGCTGATAGCAATTATGCGACTTGTTACATTACCTTTTTACATGATATGCAGTTCAGCAGTCTGAATACAACTGCCAAATTGGACATCAAGTAACTTATAAGTTAAAACACAATAGTGTGCCTTAAACATTATAGATTAACATTAGACAAGTTATATAAATAAATTCCTAGTATATAATCACAGAAATATTCATATTTCTTGCGATTGGAATGCTCACTATAGGTATAGTACAAACATCTCACGAGTCAGCGTTACTTGCAGACGTAAAAGCTTAATATTGATTAAATGTAATATTAGGTGGTACCGGTGTTGGCAATGTTGGTTCAATCGGTCGCGAGTGGGTAGTTTGGTGGCAGAGTGCTCAGCACCTCCTTGGAGAGTTCTTTGTACGCCGCGTCCATGGAGTTGCGTACTTTGTTTATTAACGCCGGCACGTCCTCCATAGTAAGTCCTTCAGTCGGGACTGGATCCAAACACTGGATAATCGCATGGCCTGGAACATACAAGAATTATAATTAACACTTTTCTCTCTCCTGGCCTTTCCCCAACTGGGTCGAGGTCACGTCTCCTTGATTGGACCCGTTGATTGACATATTTGAATAAATAAATACAAACATCAGACGAAGTTGTCAAATGTCTTTTTAAAAGAATGATGTACGAGTAAATAATAGCTTTAGTTATTTATCTAGTGTTGATGGACGTTGGCCCGTAATGTCGACATTTCGTGACGGCAGGCGCGGGTACAATGTATTAACTATTACTTCAGACTGTATTATTAGAGCGTGAGTTTTCTTCACCTTGCTTGTTTGCATTTACTATAATGTTGTACATGTAAATTATTGTTTTATAGCTCTGTTGCCTTATTTAAACAACTTTATAGATTAACTACATACCTTTATTAAAGATATATTTCTTTCTATTAATGAAATAGTAGGGCGAGAACACAACAGGTATGATTGGCACTTGTGCAGCAACCGCTATGTTGAAGGCGCCCTTTTTGAACGGCAGCAGCTTTGTGAAGTCTTTGTTTCTTGTTCCCTCGGGGAACAACCAAATCTTTGTCTGTAAGGAAAGAGAGAAATGCTATCAATATACGGACATAAATATTTTATACCGATATCGTTAATTACATGTACTGAGCGTAATTTAACAAAGGAGTGTATCGCCCTGATTGATGTGTACAGTGTACACTGACTCCAAGAAAGTTTTAAACTCAGTTATCACGTACTACTTACACATAACATAACATCATGCCATTTATCCCCGAAGGGATAGGCAGAGGTGCACATTACGGCATTTAATGCAACTTTACAATGTAACACCCACTTTATACTATTCATGTTATGCGTCCCATGTAATAGGGGATGAGCCTATTGCCATATATCGGGCACAATTCCAGACTCCGTGCTACTACTAAGAATTAAAAAAAAATCCCAGTAATACTTTGCCCGACCCGGGAATCGAACCCAAGATCCCCAGCAGTCACGTACTACTTATTAGCATCGATACAGAGATTGAACTCAAGATTGTACTCGGTATGCGATCAAAATCGTGTTGCGACAGAGTAGAATATACATAGCATACATTCGTCACTTTCTTGCTTAAGGTACTCTTTACGCAAATTTCGTAAGAGCTAACTAAGGGACTACACATTTGATAGAGACTCGGCTGCTGCGCTCTATAAAAAACTTGCTTCTTTTGAAAAGCGTGTAAGCGTACGGTGCGTCGCATTCGGCGCGCGCCTCAAAGAGCCATCAGACCACCACAGATGGGGCCCAGTAGGGCTGATGGCCGATACGGAGCCGCGGAAGGCCTAACGGGTTGCCGGGGCTTCGGCTCGAAGAGCAGGAGTAGGGACGGGGTGGTTTTTAGTCAGTAAGAGTCTGACACTCCCTTCTCGCCTAACCCAAGGCGGGAGCAGTCATTGTATGATTTAAAAATGGTGGGTTAGGTTAGGTTAGGTATGGTAGATTAATTCCTTCTTTAGTTCAGCAGTGGACTATCACGGGATGTGATCAATGAACATAACATAACATCACGCCTTTTATCCCCAAAGGGGTAGGCAGAGGTGTACATAATGCCACTGTACAATGTAACCACCCACTTTTCACTATTTATGCTGTGAGTCACATATAATCCCTATCATATGGGACTCACCCCCTAGTGAGCCTATATACCGGGCACAATTCCAGACTCCGTGCTACTACTGAGAATTTTTAAAAAGCTCAGTAATATTTTGCCCGGCCCGGGAATTGAACCCGAGACCCCTTGCCCGGCAGTCGCACTTGCGACCACTCGACCAACGAGGCAGTCTGTGTGTGATCAAATGTGATGTGATCAAAGAATTCAGTTAATTTTCTGACATTATTAACAAGTAGGTACGTATTATGAGTGAAGTCTAAAATCGGATTACCAGCATATACAACTTCAACTAACGTTGCCAAGACGTCAATCAAAATTCTTCATAAGCATGCATTTTAAAATATTAGTTCAGCCAGTCTATTAGCAGTAACGTAATGTACTTACGAATTAGTTATAAAACAAAACCAATTAACACTTCTACAGCAATTAATTTTTAACATATTTTTAATATATATAAATAAAAGTGTCTGATTGTAATATTTAAATAATAACTTCTTACTACATTCATATAAAACATACATACGATACACTTATCAAAATAATATTTTTTACGATTTTTGTCTGTCTGTTTGTACTAATTAATCTCTGGAATGGACTGATTTTGCAAGACTTTTATTGGCAGGTAGCTGATATACTAAAGAGTAACATAGGCTATTGCTAAATGTTATATTCTAAAATTTATAATCGAAGTCGCGGGCAACAGCTAGTACTAATATCTAAAGCTGGAGTTTGTTTGTTTAACCGCGTTAATTTCCGGAACTGGTAAGAATTAAATAATTCTTTCTGTGTTGGATAGGCTGTAAAATGTCATGTTACGTTAATAGGAGCCGAGGAGAGCGGGTGATACCGCGCCGGAGTCGCTAGGTAAAGACTTATACAATAATACCTTTGCCAGTAGGCACCTAGAAAAATGGATATTTGACTGGCGACACAAAAACCATTAAAGGAAAATCACAGGTCACCGTCAACGAAAACTGTGTTTAACCAGTGAACTACTCACCTTATTTTTAATCATGACTTCAGATGTAATCTTCAATTGCTTGTAAGCATCTTTGGAGTTATTCCTGTCAATGAACACCACTCCAGCTAAATATGCGGCCAGTCCGAATGGCCACACGTAAAATATTTCTTTTCTCGCTATAGCCGCCACTTTGTCTGCTACATGCCAGATATTGAACATACCTGAAATATTAAAAATTCTTTAAAGTTTGTGATAGTCGTCATACATTAAAATATTGTCATGCGTGCCTGTCATTGGGGTAGACAGAGACAATGAAATTCCAAATGACACGATTCTGGCATATCTCTTTTCCTTCACCTATGATAGTATAGTACTGTTACCCGCGACTTTGTCCGCGTAGAATATGATCTCTGTTTTATCCCATGTAAGCATCACTCTGTGTTTGACAACTGCTCGCTTGGTGTTTGACAGTTTAATCAGGATAAAAAAAAAACACTTCATTCACTCCATACCCTGACTTTATACCATAATATAATTTCATCAAAATCCGTTAAGTAGTTTCAGTTAATGATTGTCAGACAAATATCCAAACAAAGAAACAATCACATTTATAATATTAGTTTGATGATAGTAACATACATTATTGTATCCTGCTGATGGGTAGATGGGCATTGAAGATAACAAAGAGTAAGGTTTTTAAAACTGTACCTATTTACTACTAGTACTGAATGCAGGAACTCGTCTCAAGAAACAGTATTTATAGGTTTTGAATATATTACCTACCAGGAAAAAAAATCTTTAATACTTTTCTGGTCATAATATTTCTTTTTTGTGTGTTGCTGTTAGCTCTTTCAAGCAAGAATTGTAAATCAGATACAATACTATGTTACAAGGCAAAACTATATGCCATTTTAGAATATTTCTAGTTAGTTTTATACGTAGACAATAGATGAAGAGACTCTAGTATATTATGTCAGTATGTCAGCAAGTTATGCAATCATTTTATCATTTTGTATATTTTTGATTATTGAATGTAACTGTTCCGCACGGCAATTCTTATCTTATTAAAGTAAGGTGGTACTGAATGTCCTACTTTATTATCAAGGCTATTGAAACCAAACTCAACTGTTGATACAGATGTTTCAGATATTGCTAATAAGATTAAATTTCGACGCCCATATCGGAACATTTGCTCTCAGAATTATCTACAGAAAAAAATATGATAATATCATAAGTGCAACTAGTTCATTTTCAAATGAAATTACCCTGGAATTTATTATTAAAAACAATGGAAGTGTAGTTATATTTTATATCGCTCTTAAACAATGCTGTCTACATTTAAACCGTAAATTCTTTAGGTTAAATATGTCTACAGTTATTTGTAATGAAAACAAATTGAATACTGCATTTTAGATTCCTGTAGCGCTATAATTGTAAATAGTGTAGACAAGGCATTATAAACACATGCTAGATTTTGTAAGCCCCACAATTGGCAATTGACCCTAAGATCATTAGATGACATCACAGCAATATTACACTAAGATAGACATTGATAAACAGGTAGTATATTCAAACAATAACTGCTACATTTTTTTGCAGCCACTTTTATAGGAAACAGGTTACTAGTCTTATATAATAAAATTGTCTTTGGTCAATGTCTTGCCGCTTGCCACCCACGCAGTACAGCCAAAATTGTAAAGGAATTATTACCTCATTCTTTTTTAAATGGTAATATGTTTCAGTTTTAAAGGTCAAAACAAATATGAAATAAAGGAACAAAGAAACTTTGTAAGGTAATGAATAAATATAAAAATGATAATTTTATAGTTTTACCCAGAATGTCAATAGAAGATTGATGATTAGACACAACAACAGCTCCACGGTCCTCAGCTAATACTTTCCCGTTTCTTAACAGCCATTTCACCTCTATAACTTTGGTTACATGTTTCACTATTTGTGATCCAAATCTGTAAACAAATAATTAGTACAGATGAATACCAAAAGGATTAGGATTAAACGAGTCTATCCATGTTTACATAAATATAATAGTGTTTGGAAAAACCCATTTAAAATGCATTGATGAATCAACGTAACGTACAAACACAAGCGGGTGACGAATCTTTCAGCATTCAGGGGGTTATTACATACGAAACAAATGATAAATATATCAATACTTACAGCGAATTTTTCACATTTTTCGGATTAAACACAAAAAACGGCAACAATATCACTGCTGTTACAGAAGTCCAGATATAAAACAGAAGGAATTTCGATTTAAATTTCACAAAATTCGGTGTTTCAGAAAACAATTGTTTTAAAATGTATGTAACTATGAGAATCACTATCATATATATGATTTTGTCCCACATTTTCGATTGAACTTGTAACTTATTATCAGTGCACAATAAAAACCGTCAAGCTTCTAAAAACAAAAATAAACACAAAACTGAAATAAATCCTATAGCGCGCAACCAATCATGAGAAACGAAATACTGTTGTTTAGAGTTGGAGAGTGCGTTCCAGTGACATTAAAAGATTCGTCCAGTATTTGAGCGTCCGAGTTTGACGTCAAAATGAAAGCGTTTCGGAACGTATCAAACTTCGATAAGCTGCAAGAAGGAATGAAGCCGGATTTATTAAAAATATATTTTGTTCTTGTATTTATTTGTGTAATGTATTTTAAAAATATGAATACTCAGTTAATAGGCGCTTAACTATTTATTTTATTTATTTTTAGCCGTGGTCGTCCCACTGCGCGTCAAAGGTGGGCAAAGGCCTCTACATACATTTATTTTTAAATTAAACATATACTCCTTTAGGACATAATAGTAGGGGAGCCCATGATGCTCAATTTGGATTTACTAGAGCGTCGTTGGGACCTAATGGATTTTGAAGATATGCTGATAGAAAGAAAAAATGGTTTAGTGACAATTTCTTCCACCGGTGGGGGAAGGGGGAATTCACAGATCATTGAAATCGTTATGCGTAACTTTTGTTCTAGTGGTCGAGCGTGTCAGATATTGATAGTGTACATGCTCCATCTGTATTTAACTCGTCGAGTACCGGTTTTGCAGACACAATTATAGAACAATAGGTTGCGGTCACCGGTGACCGCTTGGTTTTTGACAGTTTAATAATAAAAACTCTTAATCTGCCAGTTTGCATGGTGGGATTGAATGTTCTGGAGAGCACAGACGAGAACCCTTCAAAATCCCCCCACTCTTGCAAATCAAGCTCGAATGGGCAGATTTTTAAAACGCACTTCCTTTAGCATGGTATTGACCTATCTTCCCTTAATCTGAGGAAACTGACTTTATTTAGTCAGACTTTTTTTTTAATTTTCAGTCCCCCCCTTCTAATCAGATCGGATATATGTTGGGTATATTCAACATGACACTAGGTTTTCCCCATATGCTATTCTGATGCGCTCGAGTAACTACCGAAATCCCTTCATGGGCTCCCCTACTATAGAGTTTTTAAGACATTATGTAGAAACAAAACGTTTTTTCTTACCTATTATTACATTTAATTTGCTGGTTTGGTAATTTAATTTTTTTTTGTAATGAATGCGCAAGGATGTGATTAGAATCATAATTATAAACTTCAGTGGATACTGTTCTTCTGACATACAGAAGTTCTGATATTCTTCTGATATATCTTTATATCAATAAATTAATTTCATTGATCTAGTTTTAATTTAAGGAAATAACAAAAACTAAAATCGCCCTGAAAGTTTATTATCGTGTGTTCATGACCATACAGTTTACCTCAATAATAAATCTAAAAATTATATCCTCTAGCGCTTAACAACAGCAATAATTTATCACGTTCTTAACTAAGTTTCGCAAGTTTTCCCGTATCACTTGCCTCTTGAGTCCGACAGAACTTCTTTGGACAGTTGTTCGTAAGTCCGAGATATGATCTGGTGCAAGCGCTCTGTGAGGGCCGGCACGTCGTCCACTGTAAGTCCCACTGTTGGCACCGGCTCCAGACATTGTAGTATGAGGCGACCTGAAATTGTTTCGGTTAGATTTTAGGGCTTAAGTAGTATAGACTACTAGTCCTCATAGGTATACTCTTAGAGGTCACCTCCACAAACCTACATAATATGTATGTAGGTTCTGTACTACTGTAGCCGTAGTCGCAATTACGAGTGCTGAGCATTAAAGGCTCGGTTTCGATTTCTGGGTTAACACATTCCTTATTACACGGGACTTACCTAATGAAGACCTTTAACTCGTCGAGTACCGGTTTTGTAGACACAATTATAGAATAATAGGTTGCGGTCACCAGTGACCGCTTGGTGTTTGGAGGTTTAAGCCTAAAAAAATGTGGCCCTACCTAATAAATGGTAACGTTGGTACAAGACCTAAGTCTCTTGCAGAGGAACATCAGAAATTAGAAATGATTACAGCTACCAACCTTTATCGAAAATGTATTTATCTTTGTCAAAGAAATAGTATGGTGAATATACAACAGGTATGATCGGCACTTGAGCAGTCACAGCCAAATTGAACGCACCCTTCCTGAATGGTAACAACTTGCCATCGCATTTTGTATTCCTCGTGCCTTCTGGAAATATCCATGTTTTGTACTAAAACGATATAAAAAGAAATAGTTAGTAGTATATAGTGGCAGTAGATTTTACAGCAGTCATGAGTCGGTATTGAAAAGTGGAAAATCTAGCGCATTATTGAATACTTATCTCGATGAGCAGGTATTGTACCTATGTATTCTGGATGATTGGGGAAAAGTTATAAATGAGTATTGTACCTAGGTATTCTGGGTAAAAGTTGTGTATTATTTTACTACCTTAGCCCATTGTTAGTCTAATATCTTTGACATTAGTTCAGGTAAGTTTTATTCCTGATATGAAAGCTTATGAAATGTAAATGTTTTTTAAAATGGTTCATAATAAACGTCATAGTAAATTTTTATGTTAGAGAAGCATATTTCGGAGTCAAACTTGAAAAAAATCCCATGCAGGCCCGCCGTAAGTGCGCGTGCAAAGCGTGCACAGCACACGGGCGCACGATCATGGGGGCGGCAAATCGAGTGACTCATTACTTAATATTCAAAATCATTGTCCAGAGTATCAGAAAGCATAAGAAATATCATCGTCGGGAAAAAATCCCACACACACACCCACACAAACACACACGCAAGCAATATTAGCGTTGTGTATTACGTTTGAGGCCCTATACCGGTCAGTAGCGCCTTAAATTAAAAGTCTATCGAGCGTTCTTGAAAACTATTGAGCATCCACGATCACATTCTGTAGTCACTCGAAAACTATCGAGCGTCATCGATCGCTTTCGAGGGTCACTCGAAAACTATCGAACGTCCTCGATCACTTTCGATCATCCTCGATCACTTTCGAGTGTCCTCGAAAACTATCGAGCGTCATCGTAAACTATTAAGCGTTTTCGGAAACTATCGAGCGTCCTCGAAAACTATCGAGCGTCCTCGATCACTTTCGAGCATCCTCGATCAGTTTCGAGTGTCCGCGAAAACTATCGAGCGTCCTCGAAATCTATCGAGCGTTCTCGACCACTTTCGAGCATCCTCGATTACTTTTAAGCGTCCTCGAAAACTATCGAGGGTCCTCGAAAATTTCGGCGTTCTCGAAAACTATCGAATGTCCTCGATCACTTTCGATCATCCTCGATCACTTTTGATCGTCTTCGATCACTTTTGAGAGTTACTCAAAATCTATCGAGCGTCCTCGATTACTTTCTGGACTTACTCGAAACCTATAGAGTATTTTCTTACATTTTCGAAATATCTCTGCCGCAGCAGACGCTTTTGGCGTAGTATCGCGTCGCCTTCTCCGCCACCGTAAGCGCGAGTCTGCGGACGGCAAACAAGGATCACCTGACACGTAGCAGACCCGAGCGTACGGCGCGTCGTGTAAAATGTAGGCCTCAAAGAGTCATTACTTCATCAGACACCATAGACGGACCCACCAGGATTGTTGCCTTGCTGGAGGGTAGGCTGTCATTATGGGTACTGGGGCCCTGGCTTTGAGCAAGTGTTGGAGGGAATGGGGTGGTTTTTAGTTAGTAAGAGTTGTAGGAGTCACTTCGTCAAGAGTAATTTGAGGACTTTTTGCCGAAATTACAAAAAGGGGGGCGGCATAATCGGTATTTGCATGCGGGCGCTCGAATGCTAGCGGCGGGCGTGATCCCATGTACTATGAATTTGGGATCACCGTGTCTAAAATAATATTATTATTGTGTATTTGATTATTAGAATTCATAAATGAACTAATAACGTAAAATAATTAAAATAAGAAAATTAGGTCAAGCGCGTTCCTTTTTTGGGTTTTCAATTTTAGAGTTACCGCGGACGTCATTTTGAAATAACCGACACTTAAAAGTTAAATATTTTAATAACCGTTCATTTCCGCCTATCGTTTTGTTCAACAAAAATGTTGGAAATCATATGTTCTATAACCCTATGTGAGATTATAGTCGAATTACAAATGTACCCTATATTTTTTTTTTTTTAAGGGGGAAAATCATTGAATGACTGCTCCCGCCTGGGTGAGGCGGGAGGGAGTGTCAGACTCTTACTGACTAAAAACCACCCCGTTCCTTCTCCTGCACGTCGAGCCGGAGCCCCGGTTACCCGTTAGGTTCTCCGCGACTCCGAACCGGCATCGGCCCAATAGGGATTATAGAAAGTATGAGTGACCTGGTTGAAGGCACGTATTTACGCACGACTTTAAAGTAGATAGTTTGGAGTACCTTCCATTTATTTTTAAACGCTCTGATGCGAATCTGCATGTTACCTACGTAAGTACGTATAGTTCTTGTAGGTGCGTGTACGTGCTATTGTATAATTTGGTATGGCCTCTAAAGATTAAAAAAATAAAAATGAGTCAAATGTAGACACAAATACTTAAACAATGCTAACTTAAAAAAAATGTTTAAATATATAAATTTTCTCAGAGATTTTTTAATGAACCTCGAATAAGATCACATCACTGCGAGTGACGTAAGTAATACCCGTTATTTTGGTAGTAAATAAGTATTTTTTGCGTTTTATGTATTCGTAAATTTAGACTGCCTCGTTGGCCGAGTAGTCGCAAGTGCGACTGCCGGACAAGGGGCCTCGAGTTAGATTCCCGGGTAGGGTAAAGTATTACAGGGATTTTTAAACTTTGTTAGTAGTAGTACGGAGTCTGGAATTGTGCCCGGTATATGGCAATAGGCTCACTCCCTATTAACAACATGGGGCTCATAACATAGTGTAAAGTGGGTATTATACTGTACATTATGATGAGATTTATATTCGGAATTCTTTGCTAGAAATAGTGACATAGTATGCCTTAATTATAAGGGCTCTTTATCAAAAGAATGTTTTTACTCACATTTTCATGAATCATCAACTGCTTCGTAAGTTCTAATTTCTGATAGGCTTCTTTCTGGTTCTTTCTATCAATAAATATTGTGCCGCACAGATACATGGCCAGGCCAAGTGGACCCGAGTAAAGTAGAAGTTCTT